TTCTCCATAGTTTTCTTTTTCACACTTAACTATTTTGCTCATCTGGGTGTGTACGTGTATACATATACAAGTATGTGTGTGTGTGTACATTGTGGTTTGAGGCTATACCAACTTTTTCCTTCTATAGTTAAGCCAGTTGTACCAATATCTGATTTCATAGGCATTATAGCTATTTAGTGGAAGTCCTCCAGGCCCTGCCATTGTGATGGCTGCCTTTCTCAAAGATTGTTGTTACATGAGTTTTCTATTGTTTTACTTTTGTTATTGATACAGTCATCAATACTTTAGTGGGAAACCGGAAGAGGCTATATGAAAGACTGCTATCCAGGTGTTACTATAAATCATTAGTTTCAAGAAAAATAAACTGTCCTTGGAAAATTGTACTAAGGTAATGTTAGTGGTTTTGCCATGAACATTGTGCTGTTAATATTAGTCACAATGGTTTTCCATCCAGATTTCTTTAAAAATCACTTAGCTGTAGTCTATTGGGAATTAATTTCTAGGAGTTGGTCTCTAAGATGGCTCTGCTACTTGTTCAGTGTTAAGTGTTTTCCTTAAACTTTCTGGTTACTCAGAGCTTTTCTTTAGCTCATTCTGTATAATGCTACTGCTAATTTTAGATTCAGATTCATCTACTTCTAGCACTTATATTTTGCCTTTCAGGAAGTTTCTTTTAAAAAAAATGGCAGTTATTCAGCTCTGAGTATTTCCACTCTTCGTATGAAGTTATTTTGCTTTTTGAAGTATCTATGAGGTTTTGATACTATAGAGAGTGAATACGGTGAAGATTTCTTGCCTGGCATGAATTGTAAACTGGAACTTACCTCTCCAACTCAAAAATGGTTGTCTTATGCACACTGCTTGATGAAAGTATATTTTGGAACACACTACTCATATTCAGTAGTGTTATAGAATAAACTACCTGGGGTCTTTCTGACAATGTAGATTGGTATACTGAAAGGACATTTGAGTAAATAAGGAAATATGGTCAAAAGTAGAGATTACTGAATATTGAGGTATCTATTACTGCAATACATAGTTATATACAAATAATCTTAATATTTATTTCTTTTTTTTGTATTTTTGACCTATATGTTAACTATTATAGAATGCAAATTTGACCGTGATTTTTAAAACTAAAATATTCTCTCTCTTTAATGTAGCATGAACTTCCCTTGTGGCTCAGCTGGTAAAGAATCTACCTTCAATGTGGGAGACCTGGGTTCAATCCCTGGGTTGGGAAGATCTCCTGAAGAAGGGCAAGACTACCCACTTCAGTATTCTGGCCTGGAGAATTCCATGGACTGTATAGTCCATGGGATTGCAAAGAGTCAGACACAACTGAGTGTCTTTCGCTTAGTGTAGCATATAGGCTAAATATAAGACAAATATTTAGACAAATCTGAGTTTGATTCTCAGTTCTAGTGTTTTCCTGAGCAAGTTGTTTTATCTAATTCTTGGTTTTATTATCTTTAATGATCGTGACAGTTCTTCTCTCATTGAGAAGAATAACAGAGGTATTACATATCCGTGTTCATCTTTATGTACAAAATGACACCTGTTGACAGATAAGATTCCACAGGGGTTGGGACCAAAAGAATGCTTTTCCACAACTAGAGTGAGGATCAGCCCCTGAGCAGAGAAATCACATCAGGGTGTTCATGAGAAAGGCAGAGCTGTAGCAACAATTTCAAATGGAGAATTTTACAGAATAATTTCCATAGAAATAATGTTTCCATGGAAATCAAAGAGTTTTTCAAGACTGTATGTCAAAAGGCCTCCAATAGGGGAAAAAAAATTTAAGAGAAACAAAGAATTATTTCCTGAGAGGACATTTCAGACAAAAAGGAGTGGGAGAGGAAGAACATTAGTACAAAAGAGGGCGAAGACCAAGGGGAAAAATTTACTTAGCCACACTGGTTAGGGGTTGTCACTAACTCCTTACTAAAGAGGAACTGGAAACAATATTGGATCTGCAGCTGACCCTGCAAAATGCATCCAATGCAGCTACATGGAGTTATCTGTATACAATCATGGCATCAGTGCATAGAGGCCATATGCTCCCCAAATCTCAAGGGAAGACAGAAGTTTGTGTCCTTCAGAAACTGGACAGACTTTTTGATGATGGCCATTCTGACTGTTGTGAGATGATACCTTGTTATAGCTTTGGTTTGCATTTCTCTAATAATGAGTGATGCTGAGCATCTTTTCATGTGTTTGTTAGCCATCTGTATGTCTTCTTTGGAGAAATGTCTGTTTAAGTCTTCTGCCTAGTCTTTGATTGGATTATTTTTCTGGTATTGAGCTTCATGAACTGCTTGAATATTTTGGAAATTAGTTCTTTGTCCATTGATTCATTTGCTGTTATTTTCTCTCAGTCTGAGGGTTTTCTTTTTACCTTGCTTTTAGTTTCCTTCATAAGCTTTCCTTGCAAAAGCTTTTAAGTTTAATTAGGTCACAGTTGTTTATTTCTGTTTTTATTTCCATTACTCTAGGAGGTGGGTCATAGAGGATCTTGCTGTGGTTTATGTCAAAGAGTGTTCTGCCTATGTTTTCCTCTAAGAGTTTTACAGTTTTTAGTCTTACATTTAGGTGTTTCTTTAATCCATGTTGAGTTTATTTTTGTGTATGGTGTTAGGAGGTGTTCTAATTTTATGATTAGAACATAATCATAATGATTAGAACATAATCATGTAGCTGCCCTCTGTTTCCAGCACCACTTTTTGCATTTAGGTTGGTTCGAATGTGGTGGACAAACCTAGAGCCTATTATACAAAGTGAAGTCAGAAAGAAAAAGACGAATGTTGTATTTTAACACATATATATGGAGTCTAGACAGATGGTACTGATGCACCTATCTGCAGGGCAGCAGTGAAGATGCAGACAGAGAACACGCTTTTGGCCACAGTCGGGGAGAGAAGGTGGGATGATTCGAGAGTAGCATGACACATATATATTGCCATATGTAAAGTAGCTGGCCAGGGGACGTTTGGGTTTCCCTGATGGCTCAGATGGCAAGGAGTCTGCCTGCAATGCGGCGGACCTGGGTTTGATCCCTGGGTGGGGAAGAGTCCCCGGAGAAGGGCATGGCAACCCACTCTAGTATTCTCGCCTGGAGAATTCCATGAACAGAGGAGCCTGGCGGACTACAGTCCATGGGGCCACAAAGAGTCAGATGTGACTGAGCAACTAGTGCACACAGTGAGAATTTGCTGTATCACACAGAACCCAAAGCCGGTGCTCTGTGACAGCCTAGAGGGAGGGGTGGGATGGGGTGGGGACAGGAGGGAGCTCAGGAAGAAGGGGATGTATGTATACCTATGGCAGATTCCTGTTGATGTATGGTGGAAACCATCACAATATTGCAAAGTAATTATCCTCCAAATAAAAGTAAAATAAAATTTAAAAAAAATAAAAAAGAAACTGGATAGAACTGTGAAAGATATAAACTTGGGACAACCTAGATGCCCATTAGCAGACGAATGGATGAGGAAGCTGTGGTACATATACACTATGGAATATTACTCAGCCATTAAAAAGAATTCATTTGAATCAGTTCTTAAAATAAATGAAAAAAAATTGTGTAACAGAAATCACAGTCCTGTGTAATCATATTTTTTTTTTCATGAAAATAAAACATAAAAACAAAGGACACAAATCAGCATCTGAAGATTCTGGACAAGAGTTAGCAGTAGTTAAAGCAGGAGAGAAGCAAATGTAGTTTCACACCAAGCTTCTGTGATTTCTCAATTTCATTGGGCAGTACCATCCCACACCCCAGCACTCCTCTCCACCATTGCTAGATTAGGAACTTACATGAGGCTGCCATGTTCTCATTTTTCCAAATACTGACATTTAAAAATAATCACAGATCAGGACTTACTACTTCATTCATTTCACAAAAGAAGGGACTGATAGAAAAAACATAGTATGGATGTGAACTCAGGAGATGCATTATAAAAAGTCCCTACATTGTTCCTATTTTCCTCATTTTGGTGCTGGTGACAGCTTCTCTGTAGACTGGAATTAGTTCGTGGGTTAGAATTTCAACCTCAACCTCATTGATCCAGTCCAGTCTTCTGTTTCAGCATCATGATAAAGGCATTATACCACCAACTACAACATTTCATTCTTTTGCAAATGCATATGAATTTCTCGTTACACAATGTGGGATAAATCCATCTTAGCAAACCCTTTATTGGTTTTAACAAATGTTAACCTTTGCACTTTGACTTACAGATCAATATTGACCCTCTCTGGTTATTACGAGTCAAGATTCCCTTTGGATTTGCTACAAATAAAACTGACCAAGTGTTTTGTTTAAAATTCCTGTTATGTCACTTATAACACCGAATTGCAATTTTTGTTGGCATTGTGATCTCCCTAACTAGACAATAAATCCCTTGAGGGCAGGATCTAGTTTTCCTTATCTTGTTACCCTTACAACTAAAGCAATGTTGGGTACATTGTGAATCCTCATAAAGAATTTCAATGGCTCAGCTTAGTTTATGTCGCCTGGGACATCATAAACATAAACATATGTCTCCTGGAACATCATCATTATACATAGCAAATCCTTGCTGCTGTTTTATACTTTATTGATGGAAGTGGAATTGGCTCCATCCTTCAACATTCACTCATTCATTCTTCAGACACACATGAAACCCTTGCTATGTGCCTTCCACTGTGCTAATTACTAAAGATAATCAAAATAACCAGAATGTAGTTCTTGCCTTCAAATATGTCAAGAAGAGTTCCTTTCTGGAGCTCACATTAGCTTTGTGGCAGACTGCCAATATCCTGAATGATAGAAACAGTTTGAAATCTTAATAGAGTGAACATTTACTCTCTTATGTGTTCTTATCTCTCCAAGCAGCAGCACCCACTCTATGTAACAGCCCTCCTTTCTAACAGATGACAGCCGCTATCCTCATAATACAGTTTACTTAAATTGGAGCCTGAGCCTTACCCGCTTTAAATGAAAGAATAAATCTGCTTACTATTGCAAGTCTTGTTGTATTTGCTGTTCTCTTGTGCAAACCCTTCCAGCCGGCACTGAAAGCGATGCTGCCAAAATTCTTGAAACCAAGGGTTTCGGAGGTTTGTTTCTGGCCGGAGCTTCAGATAATAATCATCAAACCACTTGACGTCGGGAGACTGGAGCTTGATTGTGATTCCACCAACAGCTTCTCGCTGATAGCCATCTGTCACATCGTACCTGTCCGCCCAGCCGTCACTGTGGAGAAACAAAAACCCCTCCGCTCAAGAACAGGTCTTGTCTGAGAAAACGATGCTGTTTGCTATTGTTTTGAAAACATGCACCAGTAAATGGCACTCAGGCCACACTGTGGTCTTACATTATACTACGTGATTATTGAGATAGCAGCTTGGTAGGATATAAAGTGCAAAATACAGTGGAAACTTTGCATCTAAGAATGCAAGAAGATATCAGTCTCACTTACCTTGAACTGCAGACAATAACCTTAAGGTTTTGGCAGAATTTCACTGGTTGTAAAACATAGTATAAGCATGAAAGTTGTATATCACCGTTCACACTAATTACTGAATGTTTAATAGTGAGGTTAAATTAATTTTAAGTATATTTCTTTTCCTATACTTTATAATAAATCATGATAAGGATCATAAAGTAAAACTGAAAAATATTTCTAACATATACCTAATGTTAATTTAACCATCCTATGATATTCATTTTTCCCTACATTTTACATGTAATGATGTGTGACTGTGTGTGTGATCACTTGTGCATGACCCTCTCTGACCCCATGGACTGTAGACCGCCAGGCTCCTCTGTCCATGGGATTTTCCAGGCAAGAATACTGGGGAGGGTTGCCATTTCCCACTTCAGGAGATTTTCCTGAGTGGTTAAACAAGAGAAACTCTCTGATTATGGTCATTCTATTAAATATTGATTCATCAGAGCCCAAACTGAAGGCCTTATAGTCCATATCCTCTTTCCTATCCCATGGCACTTCTCTACTAAGGATGCATGTAAAATACACATATGAAATCATGTTTTCTATTATCAGTATCAGTTCAGTCACTCAGTCATGTCTGACTCTTTGTGACACCATGGACTGCAGCATGCCAGGCCTCCCTGTCCATTACCAACTCCCAGAGCTTACTCAAACTCATGTCCGTCACTTTNTGTTCTAGGGATTTCCATTCAACAGCAACATAAAAACTGTAACATAGTTTGTGTGTAAACAGAAAATTCCAGTATCTGTGGACAGAAAAGGGTTATTTTGTTTAAGCTTATCGGGGAGTATTTGCCATGTAAGTCTCAAAAAAGTTCAATCCATATTAGCTAAGTTAGATGGTGCTCTATTGACTTTAGATTATTAAATATTAACATTTTCATAAAAATGTGCTTTTAAGGTTTGCTTTAAGATGATAGGGTATCTCTAAGTAAGGAATAATAAATCCAAAAATGAATAGACAAGAAATACTTGAGCTTACCTTTCTACTGTCTAATGCTTTCCATTGCATTGTTAGAGTGGACTCAAGATTCTAGCATTGCTGTAATGCTTCTGGGTGACCTCTGTGTGTGTGTGTGTGTGTGTGTGTGTGTGTGTGTGTGCATGCTCAGTCATGACTGCCTCTTTGTGACCCTGTGGACTGTAGCCTGCCAGGCTCCTCTGTCCATGGGATTCTCGAGAATACTTGAGTGGGTTGCCATTTCCTCCTCCAGAGGATGTTCCTGACCCAGGGATGGAACCCGTGTCTCTTGCATCTCCTGCACTGGCAGGCAAATTTTTTACCACTGCCCCACTTGGGTGAATAGCAAGGAGAGATAAGAAAGCCTTCCTCATGTGATCAATGCAAAGAACTAAAGGAAAACAACAGAATGGGAAAGACTAGAGATCTCTTCAAGAAAATTAGAGATACCAAGGGAATATTTCATGCAAAAATGGGCTCAATAAAGGACAAAAATGATAGGGACCTAACAGATGCAGAAGATATTAAGAAGAGGTGGCAAGAATACATAAAAAAAAAGCATGTACTTTTTTCGGTGTGTTCTGGTATACTAACTCTGACTTAAAAATTGATAATGAGAGTTGTTCCAAAGGTCATAGATTACTCATTAAGATATCATAGGGGCTTAGGATAACTTGAGATTTTTCCGAAGGCATCAGTGGGTGAAGGAAAAGGAGGAAAAATAAACAAACAGAAAAAATAAGCAATTTCTTCCTCTAAGTCCTCCTTGACAAGAAAAGATTTTATTAAAAATGATCTGTGTTGAAATTTCAAAAACTTTCATGGCAGATCAGGGGAAAAAAAAGTAATGGAATATGTTTTGTCCCCATGTTGAATGTGGTTACTTCACACATTGTCTTCCCTCAAGTTTCTCATTTCAGCTGCAGAGATTTTATTTAAAGCTGACAAGTTGAAATGAAGTGGGCTTGTTTGCTTCATTTTCTCGCTCTGTTTTGGAGGGTTTATTATATCACTGATAGGAGAGTGTGGGTCTCACTGGCACTCGAGGAGATGCATGGGCGTGCTGCAAATGGGACAGGAAGCCCTGTTTGTCAGGCGGAGCAGTGTTCTCCAAGAAGGGGAAATTTAAATTGCTCCTTTTGTTAGTGCTAGCTTGCTCTTATGTAATGCTGTGATTATGAGTATTACATAAGAAATGTTAAGATTATAATGGGTCCAATTTACCCTTCAGAATTCATTCACTGAATTTAATGGGGATTGTAAAAAGCCTGCCTTGATAAACTTTTCTGGAGGTAATGTTTCCATTAAAAAGTCAGGACCAGTTTGTGAATTTACTCCTCTCTCATAACATTCTTCAGCTTTTTTCTTTTTTTTTTTCAGGAATTAATTTCTACATTTAATTTAGCAAAAGATGATCTTTTTTTCAGTAGTATATAAGTAAGGTGATTTTAAAAACAGGTTTGTTCTAGGGATTTCCATTCAACAGCAACATAAAAACTGTAACATAGTTTGTGTGTAAACAGAAAATTCCAGTATCTGTGGACAGAAAAGGGTTATTTTGTTTAAGCTTATCGGGGAGTATTTGCCATGTAAGTCTCAAAAAAGTTCAATCCATATTAGCTAAGTTAGATGGTGCTCTATTGACTTTAGATTATTAAATATTAACATTTTCATAAAAATGTGCTTTTAAGGTTTGCTTTAAGATGATAGGGTATCTCTAAGTAAGGAATAATAAATCCAAAAATGAATAGACAAGAAAAACTTGAGCTTACCTTTCTACTATCTAATGCTTTCCATTGCATTGTTAGAGTGGACTCAAGATTCTGGCATTACTGTAATGCTTTTGGGTGACCTGTGTGTGTGTGTGTGTGTGTGCATGCTTAGTCATGACTGCCTCTTTGTGACCCTGTGGACTATAGCCTGGCAGGCTCCTTTGTCCATGGGATTCTCGAGGATACTAGAGTGGGTTGCCATTTCCTCCTCCAGAGGATGTTCCTGACCCAGGGATGGAACCCGTGTCTCTTGCATCTCCTGCACTGGCAGGCAAATTTTTTACCACTGCCCCACTTGGGTGAATAGCAAGGAGAGATAAGAAAGCCTTCCTCATGTGATCAATGCAAAGAACTAAAGGAAAACAACAGAATGGGAAAGACTAGAGATCTCAAGAAAATTAGAGACGCCAAGGGAACATTTCATGCAAGAATGGGCTCAATAAAGGACAAAAATGATAGGGACCTAACAGATGCAGAAGATATTAAGAAGAGGTGGCAAGAATACATGGAAGAACTGTACAAAAAAGATCTTCACAACCCAGATAATCATGATGGTGTGATCACTCACCTAGAGCCAGACATCTTGGAATGTGAAGTAAAGTGGGCCTTAGGAAGCATCACTATGAACAAAGCTAGTGGAGGTGATGGAATTCCAGTTGAACTATTTCAAATCCTAAAAGATGATAAAAAAAAAAGATGATGTGTGAAAGTGCTGCACTCAATATGCCAGCAAATTTGGAAAACAGCAGTGACCACAAGACTGGAAAACATTAGTTTTCATTCCAATTCCAAAGAAAGGCAATGCCAAAGAATGCTCAAACTACCATACAGTTGCACTCACCTCACACGCTAGTAAAGTAATGCTCAAAATTCTCCAAGCCAGGCTTCAACAATATAAGAACCATGAACTTCCAGATGTTCAAGCTGGATATAGAAAAGGCAGATGAACCAGTGTTCAAATTGCCNAATTGATGCTTCTGAACTGTGATATTGGAGAAGACTCTTGAGAGTCCCTTGGACTGCAAGGAGATCCAACCAGTCCATCCTAAAGGAGGTCAGTCCTGGGTGTTCATTGGTAGGACTGATGTTGAAGCTGAAACTCCAATACTTTGGCCACCTGATGCGAAGTGCTGACTCATTTGAAAAGACCCTGATGCTGGGAAATATTGAGGGCAGGAGGAGAAGGGCACGACAGAGGATGAGATGGTTGGGTGGCATCACTGACTCAATGGACATGGGTTTGGGTGGACTCCGGGAGTCAGTGATGGACAGGGAGGCCTGGGGTGCTGCAGTTCATGGGGTTGCAAAGAGTCAGACACTACTGAGCGACTGAACTGAACTGATCACTTGGGTGACAGAAATTTTACCAAATTAGATAGAAAATGTGGGGGGTGATAAGGAAAGAAACTGAAAGTACCACATTTAAACGGTTTTATAGATTTAGTATCTATTCTTTCTTCCTTTCTGTCTATCTGTCTATCTCTCCATCCATCTGGACAGTTTCTCTTGCTTCTAATTGGTGGGCATTTTACGCATCTCCTTATAATCCATTTCATTACTTTCTTTCCAATTCTTTGATATACAGTCATTCTTCACTATTTGAAGATTCTGAATTTGCAAATTCATGGGTTTCCTAAAATTTATTTGCAACCCCCATTTCAATACTCATACCACCTTTATGGTCACTCTCAGACATACACAGGGTGGCAAAAATTTGAGTCTCCTGATGTGCATCTTGACAGCGCAAGCTGGACCAGGTGAACCTCTGCTTTCTTGCTTCAGTTTTGATATCATAAAGAAGTTTTCTTCATTGTCTATTAAGGTGCCAAATTTTTGTATTTTGTGTTTTTAGCATTGAAACATATACTGCTGCTGCTGCGTCGCTTCAGTCGTATCTGACTCTGTGCGACCCCATAGACGGCATCCCACCAGGCTCCCCCATCCCTGGGATTCTCCAGGCAAGGAACATATACATTACCACATATAAAACAGACAGCCAGTGGGAGTTGGATGTGTGATGCCCGGCACCCACA